GCATTTCCTAAGTCAACAGCAAAGGTAGTAATTCCTGCCTCCTGGCAACACTGCAGCCTATCAGATCCTAGCCCTCATTGCTTCAGGTGGTTTCCCATTTTACTCACAATCTTTGGATCACCTGGGTCTAAAAYCAGTCCATCAAAACAGAGTGTTTGCCCTAAGCAAGGTAACATTAAAGGGGTTCACTTTCTTTGCACAGTTGAAGCTTCACATTCCACCCTGGATCCACAGCAGCTGACTCCCATCTAAGCTTTCCCAGAASCTGCTGCTCCTACACCTCCACCTTTTGCTGGAACCAAAGTGCCATTTCTGTCCTCGGGATGTTTTTCCTGATATTCTCAGCATGCGATAAGGGGAAAGTCCTGCACACTCTACAGCAAACTCCCTCTACCAATCTGATTTTTTTTTCCTGAAATAATTACAAATTGTTCTATTTTCTGCAGGCTATAACTTCAAGAGCATTTGAAAAGCACCAGCAGGAGGACACAATCTCTGGCCAAATTAAAGATTTTGTGAGCAACCAAGAAAAACCAAATAAGCTCCCAGAATTTAACAGGTACCCTGAATGAAAAACACAAATCACACAGCACAATCATAAAATAATTCACTGTTACCCAATAAACCATAAAAAAACCCCAGAAAATGTCAGAGAATGTCTCCATTTCACATTTACAATTAGAGCAACTTTTTTCCTGACTTTATATTAAGGGCTGAAATCTAAACTTAAAACAAATACTTGTATTATAWATGTAGTTTGAAAAATACCATCTTCTCTGGATCACAAAGTATCTACCTAAACAGACACCACATTTCCCTTTTTTTTTTTTTTTTTGTGTGGCTGGCAGTTATTTCCTTTGGATTTCTCCAACACCATTTGTGATGACTATTCATGAGAAGCTCAGTGCTGGTAGCCACTCTTGCAGATGACAGCTTCTGCAAGTGACACTTTACCAGGGATTTGAGCAGCTGAGGAATCACATTTGAGTAATTTACTGGTACCAAAAGTTACTAAGTGCTTCAAGTGAAATACAAAGAAAGAAATTTTTTTTTCAATTAATAATTTTCTTTTGCCAGATTAAAAAGTTAAATTTTAACATTTGAAATGTCTTTTAAAATGTATTTACTCCTTGACCCTCCAAAACAATATTTTACATGGCAAAGTGAGAAGTTACATTTGATTTAATTGGGGTTTTTAACCTCGTGGGGGATGGAGAAAGGAGACTTCAGAAATTTACCTCAGTTCTTCCTTGTGTCTTCCTTTTGMCAATAAGCAACAAAAATCAATTATTTGCACAAAAATCCTAAATACTGAGGTGAGGGTTTTTTCCCCTCTGATGCTAAAGTCTGAAATTTAGTTTTGAAACCCTAAGGAGGAAAAAGATAGCAAGGAATGAAAAATTATTTTAAAAAAGTTTGAAACTAAGGCTTGTTGGATTCTATAACTCTAAAGCAGATGAGTGTTGGTTCATGTTTCTCTCATGTGGTTTTGAGTTACATCCCAGCTACTCACGTGGTTGCATCCTGCTTACTCAGAGCAGCTAAAAATGACTGCAGGAATATATGGAAGCCTGGTTTGTCCCATTCCAGTCAGAGGGCGAAGGGTGGCAAATGCTCGTCATGCCCTCTGTTGTGCCTCTGTGGAATGCTGCAGGACCAGAGCTGATGGCTGAACATCCAGAGGGGGGGACGTGTGTCTCTGTCCCATCAGGGACAGTCCTGGACACACCAACACACAGCTCTGTGTCCTGGTTCATAAAGGTCCACAGTGGTGACAAAATACAAGCTGCCCATGACCTTTAGCAGGCAGCCTGGCTTCTCCTGGCTTCTCCTTCTACCCTGACTGCTGGGTACTGACCAGTTTCTCCCCAGGATGGGAAAGATGGTGGAGCCTCTGTAATGTCTCATTTCTGCTTCCAAAAATTAAAATTCTCCAAATCAAGGGGTAAAATGACACAGAGAGAGGTAGACTTAGAGGAGCCACTCCCAGCAGCTGCAGTTACTGGTTCATGCAAAATCTGCAACATCAAGTTTTGTCCTCATGAACTGAAATGGAACACTGAATGACTGTTTCCACATAGAAGATTTTATCATTTGCAAATTTCTCCCATGGCACATCAAAAACTTGAAAAAATAAAAGGAGGAGTAATAAWATCACTCAAAGTCTGAGGAAAAAAGAGACAGCAACAAAGCTGATAAAAAAACCAAACCAACAGCTGAAATACAGTCTTTAAAAAAAAAAAGGTAGAATGAAATGTCATAAMACCACCAAAACCTCTTAACCTTTTCATTTCAAACAAAAACTGRAAAACTAATTAATTTATATTAAATTTATATTTTCATGAAATAGCATTTTTAGTGGAAAAGCATTCTGTCAGAAAATGTTGACCCAGCTGTACRAATTTTATCTAGAGATTGCTCAGAAGCAAAACTGTTCTATTTTTTATTGGTCACATTCAGAAATAAGTGACATTTTACATATTAATTTTGGACATATTTATTCCTATATAACATGAAATATAGCAAGTTCCCAATTTATTTTTGAGTTACATTATCCTACAAGTTATTTACTGGTTCAGATCTGAGAAATCTTCTGTTATCACCAAATTTCTCTAGCCCAGCAGATTGATGTGGATGGAGACATTTTTATTTATTCCAGAGGAAATATTTTTTCAATTATTTCAGCATAGCTGTTGTCCTTTATATTCCTGTTATAACCCCTGGGCATCTCAGAGTATTAACCATATTTTGTGAGTTGTTTTAAGCTTCTCGATATTTTTGAAAGGAATATTCATCTTCAGGAAAATTGCTTGCAAGCAAGCTAGTAATAGACACCATTCTTCAGAACAGGAGCCTGAAAAATTTAGGCAAGCATTTTTCTTGAAACAAAGAGAAATAAAAAAATACATTTAMAAATTTACTGCAAATAAATCCCCCTTAGCTTTCAAGCCTACCAGGATTTCATCTTGATACAGGCCTACAAAATTCCTCTGGGCAAAATGCATAGGAGTAACACATCAAATTAGAGGCAGTGATATTTGCAAGGAAAGTAGGAACAGTAGCCAGTAGCACTTGTCAGAAACAAACTGACCTTCAACTCATTAAAGGGATGGATAGCATTCCTGGGTTGGAACATCCTAGGGATGGAACAYGACGAAAATTACCCTTTTCCATCACCCTCCTTACAGCAGCATTTTTCCAGTCCCTCTGCAGCCTGCTTGGCAAGCCTAAGAGCCACTGAAGGCCCAGCTCCTCAGTTTACATTGTCCCCCAGGAGTTTCTCTCTTCAGAACATCCCAGATCTTTAGTCTTGATCTGCCAACTGATAAACTTTAAGGACAGGTTTTAGGATCCCAGGAACCAGTGGAGTTGCAAAGACTGTGATTACTCTCTAACCTCTCTGAAGGAGCCCATCCAGCACTCTGCTGGGACAGGAGGTAGGACATCACTGTGGCTGAGAAGAGTGCTAGGTTTTAATCCAAAAAAAGCTCCCAGATCTGAAATCCCAAATCCATCACAAAACAGTGACCTCTGCCAGCCCAGGTGGGGCTTTCCTGAAGCCTTGGAAAGGACACGCACGCTTTGAGCAMCTGCTGCCAGGATATTTGTGTGGTACAGAGTCCACAGCTCTGCCAAGGATTCYGGTTTCCTCCAACAAACAGTGCAATATTGTTGCAACAAATCAAGCTAATCATCATAGACAAGAATTGCAGCTACTGCTCTGCAACACAGCATAAACTTTCTATCAGCCTCCTGAAATTCATTCCAGCCAGGAAGCCCCTTTCCAGCTGTGCTGCAGGAAAGAGCCGCTTTCCAGGCAGGTTTCAGACTCTACTTGTTTGTTGAGTTTTCTGGGACACAGCGGCCAGGAGCAGCCTGAGGGAGGCAGAGGTCCCTTGTCCAGTTCATGGCAAAAGGCACAAGTGACAAACAGAGGACCTGGCATCCTGAACTAGACACAGCTGGAACAGCTGGGCAGAGCTCCTCTGGATCATAACAAGGCAGACGRGCTGTTCCCATTGCCTCTGTCCCACACTGCATTTTCCCCTCTCCATTAAAACAAACTCATTCAAAGTAATAAATCTGTTTCTGAGATCTAAAAACTACTTAAAAAGAAAARACCTAAAACTTTGATGTTTTATTCGCAGGATGAAGTTAACAGTTAAGAACTCTGCTGCATGTTTAACTGAAACAGCAACAAATGAGGAGCCCTGTGTGAATGACTCCACGCTGACTGGGAGCCTGAACCTCCCTATACCTGTACCTTGAATTTGACAGATTAATGTAGTAGGCAAATCAGATGTTTGACTTTAAGCATGTAGCCACATAAAACATTCTCTCCTTCCACATACAAAATTCAATATAACAAACACACTATTTAGTTTCAGTTCATGTATTAAAAATACAAGAAGCAGCTTGGATCAGTGTTACAAATTGCCAGCACTCAAAACCCCTGCACTTAACCGAATGCACCTTTGATGGATATTTTTAACCAACYACTTCCAACATTCCAAAACACAGCAAGGATCAACAAGGTCAAGCTGTTGGCTKCTCTTAATGGGCTCACGTTTCTTGCCATCAGTGAACTTCATTAACCTGGAAGTAACTTGGGACACCTTCACACCAAGCACTGTCCCACCTTGGCTACASAGATCTGAACTGAAGCAACTGAACTGAGCTGAGGGATCAGGCTCACAGTGACTGTGATCCCTCACTGAAGTGCAAAAATTACCCTCTTAAAATAGCCAGAACCAAGCATTTTAAAAATCAAGACAGATGACCCAATTTCATTGTGTACATCCCAAAAAGCCGCCAGGGAAGTATTAATATCCATACAAACAAAATTTTCAGAACATGGAACTAAAAAAGCAAATGCTGTTTGGTATTGAGAAATGAAGATACAATTTCTTGATGACCCTTCAGCCTGTTTATACTCATTCGTGTCATGTTACTATTCAGTTTTTTAACAAGTAAAATGAAAATAAATCATGGTTACTAACCTGTGGGAAGAGAGAGTAAGTTGCATTGTCAATTGTGACAGAATATAAAAATTCCCCATCAAACCAGAGGTTCTTTCCCATGGGGGAATTCATCTTTGTCATAGCAAAGAGCTGCCCAGGGTCACAACATTCTTCCAGCAGCTTCCTAGAGAAGGGAACAAAAGACAAAGTATTAATTGAAGGCTTTGTTAATGATCACCCCTCACATCTCTGTTCCATTACTCTMAGGTTCTCCAAAGCTACCCTTCCCAGCCAGCAGATGAAACATGGGACTCTTTTTACTTAAAGGGGTCRGAAAATCTGCTTTAATTTAAGAAAATCTTAGAAATAAACAGTAAAGGAAATAAAAATATCTCAATTTTCATTCAGATTGACACAGAAACAAAATCAAGATTCAGCAAATGAAACTCCATCCTGCACAGCCCATTTTAATGGGTAAAAATCTGGTCTCCATCACATACAGAAATCAGAGAAGCTCCTTTGAAAATTAGATCCAAGGTACATAAATATTCAGTACCAAAACTTATTCATGAAGAGCAGACCTCCTAAAACCCCACAGTTACATAACTTATGTATGGAAATTTTGGCACCTCTCTTCAGTTACTGAATGTCCTTGTACTACATAACCAGCAGTATTAGAGACTGCTTCCTCACTGAAGTCCAGCTTGAGTCATCCCAGTATGGTGGATATATATAGAGTGGATATACTTGTTAGTGTGCCTGCTGAAATGCCATATCCTTTTACTCCTTCATTTCCCAAAAATACTACTCAGCCTGACTAGAAATGGGAGAGCTGCTGAGGTGGTTGAAGGTTGTTCTGAAAATTCCGTACCACAGCAAACCCAGCAATTAATATCCTAAAACACAGACTGATGAAAAGCTCTAAAGTTTCAGAATATCCTATCTTTCCAAAGCCTGCAGGCACTAGGAAGGGTGACACTCCCAGATGTATGTAAAATACACATTGCAGAATTCTGCCATTACAGTATATTATGGTGTTTTCATAAACATCTGTCATATTTTTTAAAGGGAATCCCAAAGAGATTGGAACCATTTCTAGTGGCTCCTGCATACAGGAGTTCTATGCAGAAAAACATTAATTATTAGTGACTACTAAAATGCTTGATATAGCTCTTTTCTTCTGCAAAAGAGGAGATTAATTCAAAACCTAGAAGTCATTCACAGAAATTTAATTTTTTAGAATTTAAAAAAGTTTTAGCTACTTTTCTTCTCTAAAAATTGGTGTTTGAAAAAAACAACATTATTTTTTTATTGATTTTGCCATAAGTTAATAATTATCTGCTTGTGTGTGAGTATTATGTTTCAGACACACTTCAAGTGAARTAACAGTAAGTTCCCTGCAACAACTTCCCTAAGAATGTGGCAGAGCCCACARGGTTGGAGATTTTCAAGACACAACAGAACAAGATGCTGTATATTCTTATCTAGGTTCCATTTCCACAAAATGTTGGAACAGGTGATCACTTGAGACTCCTTCCCACCTTGGCAGGTTTGTAATTATGGAGCTGGCTGTTGCAGAGCTGATGTGCAACAGAGCAATGTGTCAGAGAGTGCAGAAATTCCCATTCTGAGAACACCAATGGCTTTATCTACAACCATCAAGGAAAGGCTTCACATCACCCTCCTGCTAAAAGTAAAGCCCAAATAAAGCCTTCATCCCAGAACTGTGAAAACCAAATTACAGAAAATGGGAAATCTCTCATTGAGTAACTTTTGCAAAGCAAAAGACTGGCACCGAATACTGTTCCAAAGACAAGACTGGACAGCGGAGATTTTCTGGCTGTCCACAAACCAGTTTGCAGATTTTGGAAAATTATTTCTCTCTCTCAAGTGGAAAGAAAAWAATTCTGTGTATTTTTCTATCCCCACAGCAACTCTTTCAAAAAACATAAGTTAATCCAAGATCAGCTGGAGCCATTTGTTACAAAACTATATAACAAAATCAAAATTTCCCAGTGCAATCCTGCAACCCACACCTCCTCTGGAAGTCTAGTCTGAACTAGAAGCACAAAGAAACYACCAAATAACTGAGTGGAAAATTATCTAGGGAGTGTTTTGTATTAATGAATCTTTTCTCAGCCAGGGTAGATTAAAGAGCTAAGGAGCAGCTCTTTGTACAACTCCTTCCCTATTTATTAGTCTAGATATATATCCCTATYCTTTCCCCTCCCCAAAAATGCATTCTTTCAGTTCCCACTGAATCCTTCATTAATAAACCCATTATGGAAAGCAGCAGGGGTCTCCTGGAAGGGCCACAAATAGGCACACCACCAGTTCAAGCTTGCATCTGTGTCTATGAGCACAAAAATCTTGYGCAGTCATGTATGCTTTCTGACAGAAAAGAATAATTATTCAATGTCTCTTTTTCTGATCCGAATCCCAGAGTTACAAAGCAAGAAAAGCTTCATAGGAGAACGCTCATTTAAAAGCAGAATGGATTCAAAGACAAACCAGTAGCTGGATACTTTGCAGCATCAGGGAGACTGAACTGTTTGCTGACTGTGATTTAAAAGTACAGCAGAAATGTTATGATAGAATTTGCAGAACTGCAGCAGCTTTTAGCCAGGAAGCATTCTTTCACTCACAGAACATAAATAATATGCTTTTGATTCAAAGCTATCTAATTCAGAGGAGACTTGTCTATGAGAAGACTTACTATTGGGATTGAAAAAGGCACTAGGGCCCCTCAGAACCAAGAACACATACAGAACAAATCCCTACTTGTGGGAGAAGTGGGAGAAATATTCTTTGAAGAATCTCACTTCAAGCCCCTCAGATTTCAGCAGGAATTGGGCACCAGATAGGTCATTAAGCAAAGGGCAGCCCAGCACTGAGGTCCTAACCTGAATTCATCCACAAAGCCAGTGAAAGAGCTTTGATAAAACTCCCAAACTACTTATTCTTCATCTTAAATTAACAAACTTTGCAGTCTGATTTCAGTTTGAAGACAGTTAATGCTTAATCTCACCCTGGTTTGACTCAAGKCCCAGTCAACAATGACTCAGGAGCTATTTTGAAAATCCCAAATGCAGCAAATATAATATCTAAAGGAAAAAATGGACAATTTCATAGCATGGAGTGCCAGCCAGGAGGTCACAGCCTTTTAGGAGGGGGGTCCTGCCTCCCCAGCACAGCACCATTTCTCCAGCTGYCTTGGGATGCTGTCCTACATGGAGCATGTAAACACCACCACCACTGTGGAGGGCAGGGGGAGCAAAATGCTTCCTCTCACATTTTTCCRTTTAAATCAACGCAAGTGAGTTGTACTCATTAATGTGGAAAAGATCMGATTGATGAGAAGCTTGATGCTTGTCAGGCAACAGCAGCAAGAGGAGGGCACCTTCACAAAGCTTCTCCAGGGAAATGGTGGAGTCACCATGCCTGGAAGTGTTCAAAAAACAAGGATGATCCAGGGCACATGGATGGGGAGAGGACAGGAGAGACAACAGCTTGATGTTGCTCCTGCTGGTCCCTGCAAACATCAGCAGCTCCCTCAATGAACAAGGGCATTGATTCAACCATTGCTCAAAAATGGTAACATGAAAATTATTATTTCATTACAGTATGGCTTTAATGAAGCATTAAAATAATGACTGAGGCTCATGTTCAAGTTTGAGATTAAAATCATTTGTGAAATGAATTGCTTTAGCCAGACTCTGCTCAGCTGCCTGGATTCAGGTGGCATCATGCTAACCTTGATCCGGTGACTSCAAAATGCAGCCAGGATCTGACAGCGCAGCCTGACATAACCTCCTTCCCTTTACACTGCTGTTGCCATTCATCTCAACTTCTCTTGTTTTGCTTTGGGATTAAAGGAATCTGAAGGCTCAGGAAAAAAAAAACCTGAATCTGGCTTTGGAGTTTTGGTTGGTGTCAAGAGAACACCATCAGGCCGTCACTCACAAGCAGGGTTTTGTGGAGGTGCTGGAATTCAGAGCACGGACGGTCGCTTGGGTTCACTAGGGAAGACTTGCACAGCTCCYTTTCACTGCAATTTATTAACTGCTTCCATCTACATACCCCCCAGCAGAGGCAGGAGGACCCACTGAGAACCTTGTGGAATCCACAGCTAAATCAGCACCTATTTCCCAGCATGTGCATCCCCTGTACTTCAGGGATTAATACCAATAGTGGCTCTGAAACACATCTGGCTGGACCACCTCCAACACTGTCTCAAAACCTAATACCGAAATTCTCCTCATGCTGCCTTTGGTGTACTGTTTCCATAAGAATAACACATCCCYRTGTTTTTGYAAGAAGTTTCRGTGGCAGGGGAGAAATCAAAATCAYTGCTTAATAAAATATTSTCTTCAATAAATTTGCAACCCTGTTCAGAGTCTGATWTTTTTGGCACTTCAGATTTTGGCTGATTTTAAAATTATTTTTCCTCCCCTCCTTTAAGAGATCCTTGGCTTCTGAAATTTCAACCTCCCCTCTGATGAGCAAAAATGCTGGACTTTCCTGAATTTCTTGCTGTGAACAAAGTTTTTTACTCTTTCTGCAATTCCGATTGCTATTTTCTCTTTTTCAAGATCCAYCCCTAAATATTTCATTCTAAATAAAGCCTGGAAATATTATTTCTAGGGTAGCCACCCCCTGCCAACTACAGGGACAAACTGACCTCTCATTACCCATGCACCCCAYGCCATCCAAGAACAGACAAAAAATCTAGGCCTATATCCCATCTCCCAGAGTAGCCAGCAGCCAATAAAAACAGCCACATAATGGCTCTACTTGTGGCCATTTTTTGCTCCAAGCTGGAAGCCTGGGAATTTTATGGCCCTACAGAATGCTACAAAGCCATTCAACAACAGTAAAATCACTAGTTCTACTACAATCTATGAGCTTGGAGCTGCAGTTGGCATCTGGCTGCTGTATATTCTGTGAAAATGTTGTTGGGTTTGGTCATACACATTGAATTTCTCTTCCCTAAAAAGCTCAATCTAATACTTTTAASTGGGGGTTAGCGTGAAGAATTTACTGAGACTTTGAGGGTTTCATGGTGTTTAAAGCATCTTACTACTCCAGGCACACCACCCCACTGAAGATGAAATTGAAAATTATCATCAGCACAACTGCTTGGAAATACGATCTTAAAATTGCCCTCCTAAGAAAGATCACCTG